TCTTGAGATGAACTAAATCTAAATTAACTTAGGTAATAAGCAATTGAATAAAAAAAATTATATATATGAACATGAGACATTTTCTAATTAGACTTTTATTTATTTTTTCCAATTATTGAACTTCTATTCATGGATGGTATTAATGGGTTAGTCAATTCAATCAATGTACGCCAATACCATATAAGACCAGAATTGGGTCTGATCAATGTTACAACGTGAAATACATTCACTATCTTTTTAGTCTCGTGGGACCCACGACATATATGAATAATGAATTCATCTATTTAATTTTTTTAATAATTCCCTTTATCCATGTAATCTTTTTAAAAGAAAAGCTCAAGAATATTCACAAAACGCTGGTAAAGTTCCTGAATTTTTCATAGTTGCAACAATTAAGGGCCCGGTTGGCCATTAAAAAAAATTACTTTTATTTTCGGATTTTTTTTTCGGAATTAGTGTTTGGCCATGAAAATTACAAATTTCACTTGAAGTTAAATTTCGAAAATTTGAAAAACTTTCAAAAAACTGTTTTTCAAAATTTTCACTTTAAATCACTTACAAAAATTCAAAAACAGCTCCAAATTATATCCATATCTGGACACATCTCTAATTTTCAAATACTATTTTCACTTGAAAAAAGAAATTATATTTTTTCCGGAATTTCACAATTCTTATATCCAAACGCCTTTTAAGTTTCAATTCAAACTACTAGTAAATACTCGATATTTCTTCTGTTTTGTCGGATACAAATCGATAATCCATTCTTCTTGGTTAGTATGAGTTATGACCAACAACAACGACACAACAACATACCTGGTGTAGTCCCATAGGTGAATCTAGGAAAGGTAAAATATATGCAGATTTTTTTCTTGCCTTTAAAAAGCAGAGAAGTTATTTTCGAAAGACCCTCGACTCATGAAAGGGAGAGGGAGGGGCAAAACAAGCAAACCAATCTGACAACAAAAAAAAAATACAAAACTAGCAAAAGATAATGCAATCAGAAAATCGAAACACAAATAATAGCAAGTAGTAACAGAAGACTAGGGGCACCAAGTGGTGTGTCAAAGCTACTGTTACAAACAAGAACAACACTCGACCACCTAACCCTTTACGTTTATTCTCAACTTCCACACCTTCCTATCTATGGTCATGTCCTCGGTGAGCTGGAGCAACGCCATATCTTGCCTACTCACCTCTCCCCAATACTTCTTCAGTCTGCCTCTACCTCTCCGTTGGCCCTCCCATGCCAGCCTCTCACACATCCTTGATGGAGCATCAGTGCCTCTCCTATTCACATGCCCGAACCATCTAAGTTTCGTCTCCCGCATGAGTTATGACCCATTTCATTAAAGCACAAAGTATCCGTTTGGACATTAAAATTTTGATTTTTGAAAAAAGTAGTATCCGAAATTAAGTTGAAAAGGATATTAAAATTTAAAATTGTGTTTAGACATACATTTTATTTAAAAAATATTTCACTGCTGTAAGGGGACATGAGCTTTTACTTGAAAAAGTGATAAAATTTACCTTTTCAAAACTTGAAACCCATCTTCATAATTTTTTTTCAAAAAGTCATATAACCAAATAATGTTTTGAAAATGAATTTCGGGAAAAAAAAATTATGGGCAAACAGATCCAAAATAACTCAATAAAATCCATAAAGAATACTTTTTCAAAACTTGCAACTCATCTTCATAATTATTTTTTTTTTCAAAAGGTCATATAACCAAATAATATTTTGAAAATGAATTTCGGGAAAAAAAATTTATGGACAAACATACCAAAAATAACTCAATAAAATCCACAAAGAAGCAAAAGAAGGTCCATAAAATTAATTTTAAAGGAGCGTGCTAATCGTTGGAGAAAAAAAAAGGAGCGTGGTTATCACGCAATTATCCGCTAGATCAGTAAATCCAACCACGATTTGTGAGCACACACGCTATTATTTTAGCCACATAAAATTAATCAATATAGCACAGATAAACACTGGCTTAGGAACGACGTGAAATAACGCGCTAATAATCACCATAAGTTAATCATAAGGACATGGCCTGGACCAATAATATATCGAGTATAATTAATTTTCCTAACAGTAGCAAGTGAGAAAAACTGTACGAACCCAACAGTTATGTCCGAATGTTTATCTTAAAGACACGTTGGAGGGCTGAAAAGAGAAAAAGTACAAAATCATGATAAAGTCGAGCATTAGGGTGGTAGGCCAGGGATAGCCGAGAGTTCTTCCTTTTTTGTACCGAATAGTCTGATAGAGTTTTGTTTAGATTTTTTAGGTGATTACGTTGTGTTCATATTGTTGTTTTGCATAGTTTTGTATTATTGTCCTTTCACTTATTTATTGGTGTTATTTTCTTTCTGGTATTTTTTATTGTTACATGCCTTTTCTTTTGTTTCTTTTCTGATATTATTGTCTCTCCTGTTAAGTCGAGAGTTTCCCGAAAACAGCCTCTGTAACCTTTTTGGGGTAGGGATAAGGTCTACGTATACTCTACTCTCCTCATACCCCGCTAGTGAAATTTTATTGAATATATTGTTGTTGTTACATGCGGTTCACGTTTCCACAGCTGTCCGAAGAGTCCGGATCATTCGATGGAACTCCGCAGCTAATGATTTGAAGATCAACGGAAAATTTAAACATTCTCGAAATCATTTTACTGCAAACTTCACAATCACTTCTAATTTTTTAGTTCAATTTCTTCAAACTAAAAAAGAAAAATTACTGAAAAAGTGAACCCGTGATATATTTTTTCAAGTTCAAATCTAAATATATATATTTTTTCAACTTTACCAAATATATTAGTATCATACACATAATAATAGAAGATAATCCCTACAAAAATAATATTCACGATAATAAAAGCGGAATAATAACGTAGCACCGATATACGGTAATTAACAAGAATAAAAGAGTAACAACGACACCAAGATTTCTTGAATATTTTTTTTTCATGGTACGCACAATAATTCTGCTATAATTATTCCTGCAAAATAAAATTAAGAATATGAAGGAAACTTGATAATTTATATATTTTTATGAGAGAATTTATGTGGTTAACATCTGGTAAAATGCACTTATCACTCACTCCTTAGATAATCAATCCAAGCTTTCCTTGGTAAAGTTCTAATCGTCCTATAATTGTCACGTCAAAAGGACAAGGACCTAGGCATATAATATTATTTTTAAACTAATGGCATAGATACAAACTGATTGACCATCAATAATGACATAGGGGCAAATGCAGAGCTGGATAAAACAGAAAATAAGAGAAAAGACAAAGCAAGCAAAAATATTGAAGCTGGTATATACAGAGTTCATATATGCAATATGGATTGAATGCAACAACATAATTTTCATGCAGAAAGCGAAAACTAGTGATGTTGTAACTAGAGAGATAGCCTATACCAGTCATGTTTGTGTTGGTGAAAATCTTAAGATGATTTTATAAAATTTCAAATTTCCTAATTAATGTGTATAGGATAGTTTCTATTGTTGTGGATGTGTTTGTCATATGAACAGCAGACTGAGTATAAAGTCTAGCTGAATTTATAAATATTCTACTTGTTAATTAATAAAAGTTGATAGTTACAGAAAAAGAAAAAAAAAAGTTGATAGCCTCGTCACTTTGAAAATTTATGCACAAGGGGCCTTAAAAATTGGTTAAAAAGACGATTCAATTATCCACATGTTATGTTAGTTTGACCCCCAATAAAATTCCAATAAACAATAGTCAAAAGTTTAACAATGATTTTTAACTTTTTTCTCGAAAAATAGAAATACATCAAATTCATTCTTTCCATGATAGAAAATAATTTTTTTTCTGCAAACAAAGTGTAAATTACATAAAAAAATTTAAGAAAATATAAAAATATTCAATTTATGATAGTACAAGGTAAATTTGAACATTTTCTAACGAGACATATTTCAACATAGTTATTTTCAATGTACTTCCTCCGTTTCAACTTGTGTAATACAATTCGAATTTTATGAATCAAAAGAAAAAAAATAATTTATCTAAAATTAATTTGACTCACAAGATTCATATTATATCGAATAAATTGGAAAGGAGGAAGTAAATAGGGTCCCACCCACCATGCCCACCCCAATCTAGGACTGCTTATCGGGCGGATTGGACGGTTATTTACTCTTAACGGTTTGACTTATCGGTTATCGGCTTTTAAATGTATTAATCCGCTAGCCACCCGATAAGATATCGAGCGGATTGGTATCAGTTTAGCTCTTATCGGGCGGTTATTGGGCGATTTATCGGCCTAATTCAATCTACATACGAAGCACTTTTATATATGACTTTTAAGAATATATTCTGCTGTTATAGCACTTAAGCAGAAGTCTTTCCATGCACTTCATATGTTGAATTTTCGTTATATACCACTGTGTCTTAACTTAGTTCTTCTTCTTTTAGATGCATATAAACGGGTTAACGGATTATCCGTTAAGAAAATTGAATAATCCGTCCCCAAACCGATAAGTCATTAATGAAAAAATTTCAATCCGTTAACCTGATACCAATAAGCCATTAAGCTTCGATTTCGATTCGGTTTTCGGTTTCGGTTCAGTTTTGAACACCCCTAGCCCAATCCCAGAAAAAAATAAAGTTGGTAACAGATCGGTGAGTCACCGTAGAGCAGCCTTATCCAGAGTCTTCTAAGCTAAACTCTTTTGGCAGAATGGCCTAAATGGCACCTATACTTGTCCCACTTTGTCATGTCGGTCCCCAAACTTTACTTGTTTTCATCTAGACACTTTAACTTGATCAAAACTTATTATTTAAACCCCTCTGACTGTTGATCAAGCACATGTGGCAAAACAATGGTTGAGCTGGACAAAGTAGATATAATTCATGCGGATAATGAGCGTGAGTTTGAGCATTTTGAACCAAAAATAATTAAAATAAGAAGAAAAAATCAGTAAAATAAGTAAAAAAAAAAAAAAAAAAAAAAAAAAAAAAAAAAAAAGCAAACGGGTGGATCTGTTCTTCCCCATGCCCACCTTTCTCTTTCTCCTTATTTTGATTTAATACCCAAGCATAATTTCCCCTCCGACCAAGAAGTTGCAGGATATTCTTTCTCAATATTCACTAGTTGGCCCCGATAATTTGGAGAATTTGGTGTTGCTGCAGATGATGAGGTGCCGGAACTCGTGGCTGGCCAAACCTTTGAAGCAGCCGATGCAGAGGAGTGTCACACTTCCTAAAATTTTAATTGAATTTTGTATCAACCCCTTCTCCATCTCAACGTTTTGAGATCCGTTTATTTTCCATGTGGCCATAATAAATGACTGGAGCCTATGTGATTTAATTTCTTGACGTGGCGTCCAGTAGGAAATTATATTACACGACACGGATAACATTGTGTCATAAGCGTTTATTAAAATGGTAAATCGTTAAATTTGGGGATCGGCTTTGGACAAGTATAAGGGTCCTTTAGCCCTTCAGTCCTTTTTAAACCCCCTTCAAATCGAGTAGCTTTTCAATTTCATCACTCATTTCTCACCCCTTCATTCTTTTCTCCGTCCTTGACCCCCGCGTCTCTTTTTAAGTCTTTTCAAATCTTCGTTAGTAGTATTATTTTCTCCGGAAAATCCGTTCAGTTTTCTGGGGAAAATCTCATTCTTTTCTTCACTCATTTCCTAGATTTAAGCAGCTGAAAACAATTGCTTTTTCCATTTTTGGGATTTTCATTTCCGAATTCTGAGCTTCAACGCTCGTGAATTTAATTAATCAAGCTCCTTTTTGGTCAGCTGAGATTTTTTTTGCGACCATTCTTTCCTAGATTCAAGCTGCCCCAAAAATCTGGCGCTTCCCATTTCCTAGGATTTATTTCCTTAATTACTCCGTCAAATTTTCTTCAATTTTTTTAATAAAAAACTCTTGTTGTTGTGTAAACTCTGAGATTTTTGATTGAAATAATCATTTGGAGTAGAAGAGATGACGATCGTTTCATTACCAGGAAGTTCAGGGTACTTGGATGTTAGTAATAGGAAAGTAGTGTCTTACTTCAGCAATCCTTATGTCTTGGGTTTGACTTTTGTTGCCGGTATTGGAGGTCTCCTTTTCGGCTACGACACAGGTAACCAAATAAATAACTGCATATTAGTAATAAGTAAAATTAAGTACTATTACTCTATAATAAAATTTTAAGTTCTTCTTCCATTAAAATTTTACTGTATTTTTTTAAGAGGAGGGTAGTTTTGACCATTTTGAAACATATTATTCGGTTGATGACTGGTTTTGCTTAATCTACCGATGAACCTTGATTTGGTTTCTACATGCAGATTTGCAAGTAGTTGTATAAAAGCTTGTAAACAGCTGAAAATATTTTGGCTTTAATTTGGGGCTCTATTTTGATAACTACTGTTTTTTTCTTCAATAATAAACATAATTCGAGAGTTGTTTTTTATCTGTAGATTGTCTACTATTAATTTTCACGTGAGGCTCAATTCCTAATTATTTTTGTTTATTTATAAACTCGAAGTTGGTGGACTAGACAATTATTTTATTGACTGGATTAGTTGCTTGTCACATTGGTATAGTAAATTGTAATAGACATAATTCAAACAAGTTACTAAATGAAAGATTATAAAAAGTGAGTGTATGCTGACCAGTTGGCAACAATGGCTTCCTTGATGTGGTCTCAACCAGAAGAAAAAAACAAATAAATAAAAACATATTTCATGGGATATGATGAGGTGTGATGTTATGACATGAGTGATAAGATAAGTAGCATGAATTTTTGACACGAAACTGAATTATATTTTGTTTTAAAGCAATAAAATTGACTACATTTGTTTTCTCAGTGTAATATGTATTCTCACGTATCTTTGACTTGGCTGCAGGAGTAATATCTGGTGCACTTTTGTACATCAAGGATGAATTTCCCGAAGTCAATCAAAGCAGTTTCCTACAGGTACATGAGACTGGTACAACATTATCCTATTGTTATTGGAGTTATTTAAAAAAATGGATGGGACGGGGAGTGGGGGTGAGGTTGGAGTTCAAGTACTATAAATAGATTGTTTTCTTAGTTCCTGAGAGAAGTATGTTAATTTGGGTCCTCTTGTCAGTTACATTAAGGAAATGTTCTAACCTCATCAGAAGAATTCCTGAAAGTTAATGTGCAACGCAATCTAATACGGTTGAGCAAATGTGACACTTTTTTGCTTCAATGACTGCGGTGCAAAACTATATTCAATGTGATAATGCAATTGTGGTATGTAATTTATTATATTCAATGTGATAATGCAATTGTGGTATGTAATTTATCTGCTATTAAATATGTTTTACTTTGCTTTAGAAGCAAACTTTTCAAATGTACTACCATTGTTGCCTTTGCTAATCTTACAATAAAAAGAATTTTCAATTGGCCATCTCCTCCCCATCTCTGCCGCGAGCATATAACACTTAAGTGGTCCTATTGCTTGTCGATTTGTTTTTCCCCCCTGAAAATGCAGTTCATGATTTTGCAGGAAACTATTGTCAGTATGGCGTTGGTTGGGGCTATGATTGGAGCTGCCGCTGGGGGCTGGATTAATGACTCTTATGGACGCAAGAGAGCTACTTTATCTGCTGATGTTGTTTTCATCCTAGGATCTTTGGTAATGGCAGCAGCTCTGGATCCATACATTCTTATACTTGGACGACTTTTAGTAGGTCTTGGTGTTGGGGTTGCTTCTGTTACTGCTCCTGTGTACATTGCTGAAGCATCTCCATCAGAAATCCGTGGGGGGCTTGTGAGCACAAATGTATTAATGATTACGGGTGGACAATTTCTTTCCTACCTTGTAAATCTTGCTTTCACAGAGGTTAGATATTTCTTTCTTTCTCATGCATTTCTAAGTTTATACTGCTTTGACTTACATAAACTTAAAATGAGCAAAGTCTATGTTGCATGTGGACAGGAGGAAACTATACTTGTCAAAGACATAAGCTTAAAGTGTTAAAAAAATATGGGCTTAGGGAATTAGTTGAGCTTAGTGGTGGCAAAATGGTTAAAAGAAAATAGTTATCCACCTATATTATCCATTAAAAAATGGGTTGAATAATGAACTTTTTGGAAAAACAGTCAAATATGGATAAGAACCATATTATCCACTTAGGAAATGGATAACCAATGCGTTTAATTTTTACATTTGTAAAGTCTCAAATTGGAGGTTCCTCAAGTTTGAGAGAGTAAGAATTCTCCAAAAAATGATTATATTCAAGAAGTCATGGATAATACGGATATTCATATTATTCGTCGGTTAACCCATTTTTTATCCGTATTAAATATGGGTCGGGTCAGATAATTTATCTGTTTTGCATTACCCGTTTTCGGTTCACCCATATCTGACCCGACCCGCCCATTTGCCACCCCTAGTTGAGCTTGTGGGTTAAATGTTACTATTATTTAGTTTGTTACTGTTATTTGGTAGTCTGCTTGAATTTGTAAACTGACTTTTATTAGTGTGGGAGTAAATGTCTTGTATCTTTTGTGATGTTTATACATTCATCTGTGAAGTATTACAGCATAAAAGCAGATAGGGTGAGGGAAAGAACAACTTACTTTTTGAGATTTGCAGATCATGTTCTAACTCGAAGAACATTACCGAGAAATTCAAACTTTTGCTTCCTAATCTTCATTCACAGAATTTTTTCCTGTCAGAAGCTATGGTGAGATCAAATGGAATCATTACATAAGCTATTTGTTGAGGTTCTTTGAATCTTTTCCTAAATAGAGCACAAAAAAAGTTGTCTTCACTTGTGTTTATTATTTTTGGCATGAAAGGTTTCTCGTTGTGCAGTTCAGAGTGGCAGATCGAGATAGAATATGGGGCTTGCATTACAATATCTGCAATGAGTAACATCAGTGGAGGAATTGTTTTTTTCTCACCTATGTTGTGATTTGTGTGGATATTGTCATCTAGCTGTTACTTTTTTCTAAAGTGGCGTTTATGAATGATTTGTGCGCTGCCGACTACTAATAGATAAAAGTTAATTTGGAAAATACCCTGTGGGTTTTAGTAGTCTTTGTGAAGTTTCAGTTAGAAATAGAACATCAATCTGCTTTGCATTCTTTGTTTATCATTTGTGGAATTGGAATATTCCATGTGTTAAAAGAAGGAAGCAGCTTGGCATGCAAAAGTGAGTTGGATATTTGTGTTGCCATTGCTCCAGCTTAAATCCAGTTGATTTAATAGGTGTATGATGTTTTGTTGGGATATTCTATGTGCACGTAACCCAGATACCACTATCATCTAATAGAATCTGCAGGGTATAAGATACAAGGTATAGGTTAGGGTTCCTTCAGGGACATCTGATGAAATTGGAACGATACGGAGAAGCCAAGAAGGTTAGTATGGCCCTAGGTATAAGCTTCTCCTGACTCGGTATAAGCTTTAGTATGGTCAACAGCTCGGGTTGGTTAGTTAGGTTGTTTGGCTACATTGTTCTTTCGCCAAATCTAGGGTCTTAGAAGTCCACCTTGTCGTCCCCGGTAGGCTACTAATTCTACCCAGGAATACAGACTTATTTGTGTTCTAAAAAAACGAGGATAGTTTTGACTGTTTAATGTATATTCAAAGTGATGGTACACCTTTCTCCTGAATTTGTTCATTTCAAGAGTGATGCGAGTATTTCTTCCCGTATCTTTACCCAGTTTGTTCTTTTACATTGATAATCATTGTCTTACATTATCACAACTTTGTGGAGGATACTGGAATAACCATTCTGATAGTACATGATTGCTATTGTGTTTATTCTAATGAAATTGTTAAAGCATTCATATTGATTTCCCTTGCTGCTTGAATGTTTGAACAGATTCCAGGGACTTGGAGATGGATGCTTGGAGTGGCGGGAGTGCCTGCTGCTATTCAATTCGCCCTCATGCTGTTTTTACCTGAGTCTCCACGATGGCTTTACATGAAGGTGCAAATTCTTAATTTTGTGGGTAGTTCTTGCTAATTAATAACAATGTTGACTTTAAAAAACCTATACAGAAGGATAAAGCTGAAGCTGTCGCTGTTCTAGCTAAGATTTATGATCCTTATCGGTTGGAGGAGGAGATTGATCAGCTTGCTACTGCATTAGAGGAAGAACGCCTTAGAAAGCAAGCTGTCAGTTACCTGGATGTATTTAGGAAGAAAGAGATCAGACTTGCATTCTTCGCAGGAGCTGGGCTGCAGGTATCCTTTAGACTTCTGTGATGTTACAATGATGTGTACCGTTCTTTTAGTTGAAGTTGCTTCCTCAGCTCTATCTTCTTAATTTCGGTAAAAGAGTACATTTGACTGTGAATTTTTCCCGCTTGGGGATCTCCCTTGAACTTCAGCCAGATTAAGCGTGCTGCACGTAAAGATTTATCTATTAAATTGAATTCAAAAGAGCATGTGAACATGATGATGGCTCTTGCAGGAGCCTTTGACGGAAGTAAATTGAATTTAAACTGGCAAAGTTGAAGCATTTTGTACACTATTTTCTTTGTTCCCTTAAAAGCGCCAACCACAAACATTTTTTGCAGTTTCCTCTTTTACAATAGCATGAGAGGTCAAACATTTTTTGCAATTTCCTCTTTCACAATAGCATGAGAGGTCATTGATCATCGGAAATGAGCGTTCGTTGCTAGTTTATAATAATCACTTCTTTGAATATGCAGACATTTCAGCAGTTCGCAGGCATCAACACCGTGATGTACTACAGTCCAACAATTGTGCAGATGGCTGGCTTTAAATCTAATCAATTGGCGTTGCTCCTGTCTCTCATTGTCGCTTTAACGAATGCCATGGGTACTATAGTGGGAATTTACCTCATTGATCACTTTGGACGCAAAAAATTGGCTTTGACAAGCTTATCCGGTGTGATTGTGTCCTTAATTTTCCTTGCTGTAGCATTCATCCTGGAGTCTTCTACTTCTAATTCTATCAATGTCGGGGGATATGGCTGGATTGCTGTAATAGGTTTGGCCCTCTATATTGCTTTCTTTGCACCTGGTATGGGTCCTGTGCCATGGACAGTGAACTCTGAAATATACCCAGAGTCCTATAGAGGAATGTGTGGTGGTATGTCTGCTACTGTCAACTGGATATCCAATCTTATAGTGGCACAGAGTTTCCTTTCCTTGGTCGAGGCTGTGGGCACGGGTGCTACTTTCTTGATACTAGCTGGTATAGCAGTGATGGCATTTGTGTTTGTCGTGGTGTTCGTGCCAGAGACCAAGGGTTTGTCATTTGAGGAAATGGAGAGGATATGGAAGGAGAAAGCTTGGGGCAGTGGATCTGGCAAAGATGCACTTCTTGAGGCAAGAAGCTGATTAGTGTCTTTCAGCGGCTTCATGATCAGTTGGTGCAGTGTAGCAGTTTGTAAATTATATAAAATATATACTTTGGTAATGTCAATGTAATGTGGACAAGGGGCTTGCAACTGCGTTATTAAAGCTTTGGTTATAAGCTCCAATCCCTATGACAGGGAGGAATATCCTCCAGTACTATTGAGCTTTTTATCTTTTGTAAGTGTCAGTTACTTCAGGAAATATGTGAAGAGTTCTGTTGGTTACGAGACCAGAGAATTCCAGTAAATTGTTTCCCTTTTTGTATAGTAAAGATCTTCAAGTAGAGCATCCGATTTCTGAACGTCTTTGGTCTGCGCTTTTTAAGCTGGTCTCTCTCTTTTTAATTAGAGCCACTCAACATCAGGCAGGAATTACCTTACCTGTGGTGTTTGGCTATAAGCCTTACCTTGCATGTAATTGTATAGGTCAAAATCTGATCACAGTAGCCGACCTAGTTGGAACCTCGCCTAAGGGGCAGGATAGCGAGGACCATCACGACCTACTTCGGTCTAAGTACCAATAGTGAACAGTATGTCAAAAATAATATTCAAGTAACGACAAAAAGGCCACAGCGTGAAGGCACACCGACCGAAGAACGTAGCCAGGGTCTCAGAACTATATAGGTGATCAATTCCCAACGAA